TTTTTTTTTTTTTTTTTTTTTTTTTTCTACAATGTTCAGCATACAATATTTTTAAAGTAAAAAAAGAAAGTAACAAACAGTAAATTTTTTAAGTTATATATAAAATGATATTAAAATGGTGTTTCTGTACATACAAAGTACACATAAAGGAAATAAAGGCTAGTCAGGGTTAATTTGAGGTTAAATAGCAAAAAACTGAAATATATTGAGTGCTGCAGCTAATTGTAGTGTAACAAAATGATTACATTGTAATTAGATGCTCTAATGCTGGCAGCTGATTACATTATACAGTAAAGAACCTGTTACAATGATCAGTGATATACAGAGTGTAACAGGCTCTTGTACTGATAACTGTGGTAGGAGGTGTCGGCATCTCTTGCATAAAGGACCAAGAAGTAGCCAAACTTGTGTTTTCAGAAAGCTACACTTGCAGTAGTGCATCCATAAGGGGAATACGTTGGACTATGCCTTGTGAGCTTAACTGAAGTCCTGCAAGGTGTACCTAGTACGTCATCGGCTCACATGTGGTTACATTTTGTTCTAGATCCCTGGTGCCCAACCTGCAGCCTTTGGTGCTTGCCATTTGGCCCTTGAACTCCAGCAATCGGCAGTGGGAGTGTTTTTTATTTTGTAAAGGATCTGTAACGGTAGTGATCTCTATTAGTCCCATGTAACATGTCCAAGGTTCCTCGCAGTCTCCCACAGCATGTCTTCGGTCTTGAAACACATCTGTAGCATGTCCATAGTTTTTGATTTATTTCCTCTAGTAAGTATGCAGCCTTTGTCATCTGTAGCTTTACATACACGAAATAATATGTGCAGCCCCCTATACCTCTTAATCTTCCTGGCGGTAATCCCGAGTGTGAGCCACACTCGGGCATCTTCCGGGTTCTGTCCCTGCAAGCGCCGGCATTGCAGGGGGGCGAAACAGGTGAGAAATTCAAAAGTAAAAGTTGACATCCACTGTTCTAGATAATGGAATTAACAATGCTAAAATGTACTACAAACATTTTTCTTGATTTTTATCTTTTTTTTAAAACCTTTTTTAGGTTCTAAATGTGGATCCATCAGCCAAAAAGCTGATCCTCACCCGAAAGAAAACCATGATCAATTCAAAATTGCCAGTAATTGCCAGTTTCCATGATGCAAAACCTGGCATGATCACTCATGGTTTCATCTGGGCAGTGAAAGACTTTGGATGCATTGTTAAATTCTATAATAATGTCACTGGATTGGCACCAGCTCGAGAGTTAAGCTCGCAGTTTATCCCATCAATACAAGACGCCTTTTATAAGGGACAGGTAAGATACTATTGTACATTTTTCACACCATACATTCTGTAGACCATCAACTCTTTTGCTGCCACTGATGTATCTCAT